AAAAACTTTAAAATATTCGAAACGTCTTGGTAATATTCGAAATGTAAAATAATATAAATTAAAATTTAATTTAATTTGAAAAATAAAATTAAAATGAGTTCTACGAATCGCAAAAGAGAAAGAAAATACTGTTTAATATTGCATAGCATTGAGTTCAAAAATACCATCGGCATGTGGTTACAAAAAAAAATTGAAGAGTTCGAATCATTTTTAGATTATGACCGTAAGAGTGACCTCTCATTATGTTTTCAATCGAAATTATCACTATCTGAACATCAAGGTGAAATTGTAAACAATAAATCATTAAAGATCATTTTTAGATCCGACAGTTCCAATTGCATGGTGGTGCGTGGTGCATTTACGTTGCAGATGTCTATGGGCTCCAGTAACCACTTAACACCAAGTCGGCTGTGAGCTCATCCACCCATCTAAGTAATAAATAAAAAAAAACGAGCTCTTTCGTTTTTGTGATAAAATTAACGTTGTATAATTTCAGTAACCGGTGTCGAGTTATTTGTATTTATCGGCAACCCTACTTCATATTGACGTCTAAAGATAAATTCAGTTGTCAGTGACAGTTGATTGACGCGTCGTATTACGCATGCTGTATCCGCTTTAACGCGCACTCATTGTATTATATTGAGTTTTATTATCTAAAAAAGAAACTAGTCATTGAATTTGTATTTCCAATTTTGCAACTATATTTATTAGGTTGCACATTGTAAAAAAAAAGAAGCAGAAAAACTGAAAGCGAGTGAGTGTTCGTAATTTAATAAAACAAATATTATTACGTATTAGTGTTTTTTGAAACGGTTAGATCTTATGTTTAAAATTATTTGGATTGGAGTTCGATGAATAATAAAATTGCACTTAAATTTCAAAAACATAGGCCTCTACGCCTCTTTTAAAACTTGTTGTTTACATTGTGTTCTGGATGTATAGTTGTGCTGCCAAGTACTATAGATATGTAGGAAAATATATACAAAAATCAAATATCTTTTTATCAGCGCCATCTGCTGGTGTCAAACGCCAAAACACACTGCTTCTCTTCACCCCAGCGGCATGGTTTGCTGAGAAAATGTTTTAAATGTGTAGAAATTTCAATATAAAACAAATTTGCATTGAGTAAATACTAGTGAGATAATTAGACAAATTCAATTAATGTTATGACTTATTCTAATAATTAAGTTGTGATAAATGCAGATATAAAACAGCTAAGTTAAATTACAGTAACACAATGAAGGAACCACTGACAATGGCTATAAGCTAAATCACGTTTTGAACACAAGTAATTCCGGATCTCTTGCATCAACGACCACGGCGATTGCGCAACGACCCACTATAATAATTGTCTTTAATTGCCTCGCAACCCAGAACAGACAGAACTAGATCTCCTATCAATTTGTTTGACTTTTATTTTTGTGCAGCCTGTAATACGTTTTAGAAATTTATAGATACAGTGGGCTGCGTTTAGTATAGTTGACCAAGCACACATATAGTCTGTCTTTTATAAATTAGATAAGAACTTTTTTAGTCAGTTTTGAAAGCTCTCCTATTTCTCTTCCTCTATACAGTTTCAGAATCTTGAGTAGTCGCTTTTGCAGTAAATCCGTAACCTTTCTTCCCAGTCCTAGGGTAATTTAATCAAAAGCCAATCTGATCGTACCAGTGCTGTGCAGTGGTGATTTAACAAAACCAATTCTGAGAATGAAGCGGAAGCAAAATCTTACTAATTTTCAAGCTTTTCGATGTGTTTTTATGGGTTTGTGTATCCCTTACATGTGGTTGAACGAAAGAGCAATCGTTTTGTTGTCAAATACAGTTTACTTTTTTTTGTTTTAAAGGCATGTATTACTTTTTTGACATAACGTTATGCAGCGAAACGCGGGCTTCAAAAATTTATTTCTGTGATATATGTTTCAAATAAATATATTCAAATATCGCCATCTATTGTTAAAGATACGAAACTAGCTTCTATTCTGTTTTGTGTATCTTATCTTTCTTATAGAGCAAGAGCCCGCGACAGCCAGACCTTCGTTATTTTATAAAAGCTGAAAGTTTCTCTGTGTATGTCTCCAACACAGGTAAGAACGACCCGCGATTATAGAGTTTCGATTGTGGTTACTTGGGCAGGTAACAGGCAGTAAAGGTATATGAAATAGTACCTTAAATTCGTTAAAGTATAAAGGTTTCTTTTTTTAATATTTACTCCAGAATATCTTTAGAAATCACGATATCCGTTGCCGGACACTTTTTCCAGTTGTTACCCCCTGCCAGACACCCCTAAACTTTAACAAATTTTAATTATACTTTCGTTATACTATAAAAGCTAAATTTTATATATGTTACTTAGGGACTTATAAAAATATGTTACCCCAATAGCCGGACAGTTTTAATGGTTCTTACATCTTGCCAGACACATTGAGAGCCCGCTGTAGGTGCGAGCGCGAGGTAGCAACTGTTCAAGCGGGTGTAAGCGAGATAGAGTGCTTAGTCTATTGTGATCTTTTACTGCACATCAGCTGTCGTTTATAGGATTTATCCGTTCTAAGCAGTGATATCGAGGCGCTACTCGGCATGGGAAGCTCTGTCATTCTGGCGGGCGACCTAAATTGTAAACACATCAGGTGGAACTCACACACCTCAACCCCTAATGGCAGGCGGCTCGACGCGTTAGTCGATGATCTCGCCTTCGATATCATCGCTCCGCTAACCCCGACTCACTACTGATCTGAATTTCGGAAACGGCTCGAACGATTTTCATAAAATTTAGTATACAGGGGATTTCGGGGGCGATAAATCGATCTAGCTGCGATTTATTTTCAGAAAATTCGTGTTTTCAATAATCAACTCTTCCCGACATCTATTGGCGAATAATAATACTATTTTTCTTAATTGAGGGCAACTAACCGCTTTAAAGACACAACAAGATGGCGTTATCAAAAAAAACCGGTCATCATCTAGTTAGTATAAACGTGAAATGGAATTAATATATTGTTACGCACTGGGGTTCGGGATAAATAAAAATTCTACCGAAGTTAAAAAACTGTATAAATTAAAACGGTATTAACACTTAAAACACTTAACAACTACTTTAAAATTCTCAATTCACTTCTTCCGCTTCGCTTCAAATGATCCGTTCGCTATTTCCCTTCGAATAGTTTCGATTGTTAACTGATTTCGTGTCATCTCTATAACGCCTTTATAGCCAATACGACATCCCTAGTTTTTTATAATTTTTTTATTGCTTAGCTGGTTGGACGAGCCCAACTGGTGTTAAGTGGTTACTGAAGTCCATATACATCTACAGCGTAAATACGCCACCGACCTTGAGATATAAGTTCAAAAGTCTCAGTATAGTTACAATGGTTACCCCACCCTTCAAACCGAAACACATTACGGCTTCACGGCAGAAATCGGCAGGGCGGTGTTACCTCCCGTGCTGACTCACCAGAGGTCCTACCACCAGTAATTACGTAAATTATAATTTTGCGGGTTTGATTTTTATTTCACGATGTTAGTCCTTCACCGTGGAAGTTAATCGTGAACATTTGTTGAGTACGTATTTCATTAGAAAAATTGGTACCCGCCTGCAGGATTCGAACACCGTTGCATCGCTAGATACGAATGCACCGGACATCTTATCCTTTAGGCCACGACGACTTCAAAGATTCAAGATTTATCGAGTACATTCTGGGCAAGTCGAGTAGCTTCGATGTATGCTATCTGACAATAAATGGCGTTGTACTTCTCAAGCGTTCTTGACGTTACCAGTTCCTTTGATATTCATTTCGGCGATTCGGCGATAGATGGCGTTATGTTTACCGGCGCAACAATATTTTGACACCCCTAAATATTTTTAAGACTTGTAAATATTCGATTTGGTACATGTTTAATTAAAGTATGTCATCTATTTCTTGTATAATTTATGTACCAATCCACGTAGTACGTTCATTTTACACTTTTGGATGACGTGCAAGTAATGCTTTTGTCACTAAATCCGTCAATCTACACTATTGTGCACGTAGGTAATAAATAAAAAAATAAAAAAGGAAAGTTTGTTTTGAAAATATTAATTTAGGTAATAAGTTCGCTTGTTGCCAATACTCCAAAAAAGGTCTTTTTAACAATATTTCTATGAGTTTTGAAAACTCATATAATCGTCCGAAATACGAACATAGGACGTGATCACCAAATTCTTCCATAATTAAGAAATAGCGTGGTGTACTAAAGATCAATCAACTGAAGCGCAATATTTATGAATTTGCCTAATTATTGGATGTAGGACCTATTTGACAACCACGCTGGGTTCAACCCAGATCTGCCTATTTCTACCCAAAGTAGACATATGCACCTTTATCAACGGTTTGACAGTCGCTCATTCGAAATTTGACTTCATGTCTCAAAGTAGGTTGCATTGTCACTCCTTTTTTTATATATTTTTCTACCTATTCCAGTGACTTCGAGGGGTTATACTAGATTCACTGAGCGAGTAGGTGAGCTCACGGGGCTCTAACTTGAAGAATTTTCAAACACTAGCCCGAGCAAGAGTAGTGCTTCGCAGAAGTTACCACCGGATCGGAAACGCGACCCATTGAGGAGATCCAGCGTAAAATTTAGTGATTCGTGACTGTGGGCCGCATTCAGCTTCCCTATGATATACAACTAAGATTTTTTTTGTCTCATTACGGATACAACTTTTTATAAGAAGATACCACCTTTCGGAATATCAAGTACTCAGTGCTAATAATGAGATGGTCACGACCCTCAGACGTGAGGAATGCGACTCAGGGAGGAGGAGTGCTAATAATATCTGAGATATAAAGATAGATAGAAGATAGACGATTTGGCTTTGCTCCTTACATTGCTGAAGCACATGGGCGACGGCAACCATTCACCACCAGGTGACGGTATTATTGTATGCCTACAAAGGTTATAAAACAAAAACAAGGATTTATTTTGATGCTACGTAGCACGAAAGGTAATTAAAACAAAATTAAATTACCATAATTTATTATACGTCATATAATACTAAAGTCTTATATTTAAACTCCTTACGCCTTCTTGGGAAGCTTGTTCTTGTCAAGTGGCTGTCCGTCGTAGTAGTTTTCACTGAAAAATTCCGTTAATTATTATTTAAGGGTAGCAAAAATATTGTCATGTAGGGCAATTTCTAATTATTTGCAATAAAAGCGACAGTTTCAACAAATATGATGAAAAATGTTTCAAATAATGGAGTTGAATTATTGTATTCTAATGAAATTAATTCGGAAAACAGCAGACTGATTTTAAAATGTAATTATTTTTTATTTCACAATTTAAATTCTGAATATTACTTATTGTAGATTTGATGTTACATCATATTTTATATTTTTTACTGGTGGTAGGACCTCTTATGAGTCCGCGCGGGTAGGCACGACCGCTCTGCCTATTTCTGCCGTGAAGCAGTAATGCGTTTCGGTCTGAACGGTAGGGCAGCCGTTGTAGCTATACTGAGATCTTAGAACTTATATCTCAAGGTGGGTGTCGCATTTACGTTGTAGTTGTCTATGGGCTCCAGTAACCACTTAACACCAGGTGGGCTGTGAGCTCGTCCACCCATCTAAGCAATAAAAGAAAAGGAAAGTAAAAGAAAAGTAAAAAGGTACTCGTGGATTTTCAAATTTCGAGTATACCAAGGCGCTGACGAGAGTACCCTCAGGAGAGTGTTTCGAGCTCTCTGGAGGCACATAATGTTGGATTTGCTGGCTGTCGATCAAATTTTTTTTAATCACAGACATTTCTAATACTCACCATCCAACAACTTTTTCGGGATCGTCGCACATGAACGTATCCTCATTGTAGACCTTCCCGGATGGACAGCTTCCCTTTTGCGGTTGGACTCCGTTACGGCAGATATAGAACTTCTGGCAGTCTTCGGGGTGGGGGAAAGTGGGGTGGGGTAAGGAGCGGCCGTTGGGGCCCATGACCTCGCCGTCGGGACAGGTGAAACCATCATCCAAAACATCTGCAAAAGTGGCCAGTTTTAAATTTGTTGAACTTTGTTCCATTATTTTTTAAATAATGCAGAAATAGTAAAACGATATATGTAGTTCTAATGTGTGGAGTAAAGTTGTGCGCTATGAGCCCTCTTGTCGTGGCGGTCGCTAATTATATATCTGATCCAAATAACGGGGCAAAGCAAAGCCGCCATCGCCCGAAATTTGTCTCATCGGATCCTCTAGATGTCTCTCGTGCTTTTAGACTCTTCAAACACCAGTCACCGTTCTCCTTGAATTCCTCTGTTACAGCGAAGAGCGAACTAGCCCATAGACACAATCCACTATGCTTCTGGCCGGATCTTTTCACTAAGTTCTCAGTGAGCTCACCTACCGGTCGTATTACTGTCTCGCCGATGTTAAAATTCGAATCAAAGGATTTTTTTATATATGAACATGAGAGAACGATTACCTTTTGTGATTTGGTCGCATTGCCTGTTGACTACTTCTTTCCAGTCGCAGTTGGAGGTCTCTTCGTCAAAGTACAGTCCTGGAGGACACGGAAGCTCGTTGGGAATACCATCAGCGCAGTAGTGGAATTTATCGCAGGCCTAAACAGATTTAATTACACTTTTATTCCATATAATTAAAGTGAAACCTTAAAATTCATGTCTCAAGGTGGGGAGCGGCATTTACGTTGTAGATTTCTATGGGCTCCAGTAACCACTTAACATCAGGTGGGCCGTGAGCTCGTCCATCCATCTAAGCAATAAAAAAAATTAAAAAAAACTCAACATGAGACAATCCGCCCATATTAGTTTCGTAATTAGGAAACAATTAAGAACACACGTAAATTTTTTGGTAAAACTGACCAATATCAACTCTCTGGTCAATAATTACAAGCACATTTGTAGATCCTGTCCCAGATATTGTCAAATATATAAAAAAAACTCGATAGTAGCGGAGTCATGTCGTTTACCATGATAATAATTGTTCTATGTGCAAGTATGCGTACTTGCAAATATATATAAGACTTAGCTGATAATAATCTTAATTAAATCTAAGTTACCTGTGGGTCAGGATGTTTAAAGTATCCGTTTTGACGAGGGCAGCCCTTCGATGGTTTAGGTTCTTCTGTAATTTCAAAATTAGTAATTTAAAAAAAAAACACCAATAAACTGATAAGTCCTCAGTTGATAAATAGCAAACGTAGTTTTATGGTATATACAGATGTCATATATGCTATCCTATAATCTTGGCATATTTCATAACTATGTAAAGACAAAACAGTTAAATACCACTCTTTTCGTCGTCAATCGATTTTATCTTTCTTTATTTTTTGTTAAATAGCTATTGCGAAGCTATGGAGAAGTATTTTTTAAATAATAATATGTCAATAAAATAATTGAAGATTATGTTTGAGCTTCGAACACTGGGCAAATACTAGTATCGATAAAGGCAGTAAAATAAACATTATCGATTCTAAAGCGCTTATAGATGGCCAATTAAACCTAAGCTGAGAACTATTATCATTTGCTAAATGATATTTGTCGTGGATTTAAGTTAAATTTTCATAACGCGGCATGAAAGCAAATGTAGTCTGTATTCCTCTACCCGCGAATCTGTGCATCTGTTTATAATGTGGCATACAAACAACAAAACAAAAAAAGGCCCATTGCATTAACGTAATTACGACTGATGTATATAAACAATGACGTGTTAATAATCAAATTAAAACAAAAAAACTAACGTGTGTATTTTAAATATTCCCCTTCATCATTAGATTTACGGTTCGTTTCTATTTTACGAAAGACGCCAACAAACATTACAAATACGTGTCGAGTCGTGAGTTTGTGTTGATGCGTGAGCATGGCCTGTGTCAATGAACTCTTATCTGATCGCGACGGAGCAATGCAAAGCCACCGTCGCTCGCAACATGTCTTGAAGATATGTTTCATCCATTTGTTACCCGGATGTAGCTGAAATAGCCTTTAAGGCTACCAGCGAATAGGTAGGAAAAAAGTCCATGAATCTCCAAATTTGGGCTTAGCCGATGATGGTTCATTGAATATAGTACTCACGTAGCTCCTTTCTGTCGCCGCAGTCGACGTTAGAAGGGATATCACAGTGTTCTTTGTTGGGGTTTTCATCTGAGAACACGAGACCATCAGGACACAGCTTCTCTTCTGCATCTCCTGTATGAACATAAATATTTACAAATATATTAACTACTAGCAGACCCAGCCACACGTTGCTGTGGCAAAGATTTTTGTTTCTAAATAACACGTGGCCGCCTATGCTAATACAAAAAATTAACAAAGTAAGAACAATTGGATTTCACTGTATTGCGTTTACTACGAAATAAATTTTACTTATACTTTAGCCTCAGCAACACGTGGTATTTATGCCATTAAATTGTAGCTTATGTGAAACGTTGGTATTTTTAACACAGCGCCATCTATGAGATATTAATGTCAGACAGTATTAAAATTTTCTGTAAAAACTGATTTAAGGCGCCATTTGTTTTAAACTCATGAAACTTAAAATTAATAACAATAATTAACATAAGAAATCATTTTATTTTTAATTAATAAATATTGCGACTATTAATCGAAATAAAAACCATCCTATGGCCTAAGTTGGAACAAAATACATATTTAAAAAAAAGAAGTTAAAATCGGTTCAGTAGCTTAGGTGTCCAACGCGGACAAACAACGTGACACGTACATAATTTATGTTATTATATATTAAGATTTATCATAGCATGTGAACGGGCTCCGTCAAGCACTTAGCCTCAGGTGGCTGTGAGTTCATTCGCTGTCTGTGGCTCGTGAACACTAATCAGATACGTATGCCCAATATTGGTTCCAAGTTCTTACCAATATTGTGTTCACAAACAATTTCTACGTTCAAGCGGGTATCTAGAATACATGTTACACTTTTTTTTTTAGTCATAACTAATGATTGTGTAATTATGTATACTCATATAATACGTATCACTACATAGTATAAAAGTCGCTTTCTTTGTCTCTATATCTGTCCCTATGTGTGCTTAAATCTTTATAACTACGCAACGGATTTTGATGCGGTTTTTTTAATAGATAGAGTGATCGAAGAGGAAGGTTTATATGTATAATAACATCCATTAAATAGTGGAGAAATCAATAATTAATTACAGTTTCCGAAGCGAAGCGAGGGCGGGTCGCTAGTCAAAAATAAATTGTGTACTATTTTCTTTATTTGAATTTAGCCATACAAAATGCATTTACATCAATGAGACTTGATTAAATTCATTATAAATGCTAAAGATCAATTTCTAAGCGATTGTCTATAATAAAATTTCATTTCACTTAAAACAATTACTGTTATTGGAGCTATCCGTTGTTTATATCACGATTAAGTGCATTTACAAAGCTTGTTCTTTGGTTTATGTACCACGTAAATTTATGTAAATAGTATGCTTAATATGCTTATTGAGTGAAGCTATTTTGTAAGCTGTTGAACTTTTGAATTTCGAAAAGAAAGTCCGGAATTTCAAGACAGCTGAATGCGGTGTAGATAAAAATAAATGTATCAAGTCTTGTTCACCTGTTGCTTTAATAGTCCCCGTTGGAGATAACTTTGTAATTGGGATGGTTGTAGAAAAATAAATCTAGGTTCTTTAGCAAGTTATTTACGATGTTTTAAAACATGAATATTAGGGAACTTTAAAATGTGTTGTAGTTTATCTCTAATTGTTAGCATATTTTTTTTTGTTTTGTTTTCGCGATTCGTAAGGATAATTAAAACTACTTTTACAATATTGCAAATACTTTACAGTTTACACTGAATTAAATAAATCGTAAAGTCGACTTAATTAAATCGTAAAAGTAGTTTTAATTAGGAAAAAATTGATTTCGTCTGTAATTTAGCCTGCTTGTAGTGAACTTTATACCACGTGGGCGAAGACCAGTGCTCAAAGGATTAAAATTATGTTAATACCGATTTCGTCATAACGTTTATATGAATAATGTTTTTTTACTATATATCTTTTAAAATCCAATAGTACCTATAAAAGTAAATTCCATTAATCTCTTAGCGATGAGATTTTTTTTGTAAACTTCCGTATTCAATGAAACAGTCAATATTCTGATCGAAATCAATATTTATTTACTTCCGAAAACTATCAGGTTATATGAGAAGGCTTTTTGTAGTTTCGAAGAATTTCACGAACACACAAACATAAAAAAAACAGAACACGAACAAACAAACATACAGACAGAAAATAATAAAAAAAAAAAACAATTGTTTATGTTCTTTTATCCAACCTTAGCTACTCCCTTTCTATTTTAATTACTGTTTATCAATGTACTGTAGCTGTAGCTTTCAGTGTACGCCATAGACGCTCTTCTAGAGTTTTCATCTGCTGAGCTCACACAAATTCACAGTTAAATGTAAACAAAGTCTTGTGAAACTATTTAGTTATTGCAAGGGGCATAAAACACAAAGAGGAATGAAAACGCTAGTTGCATAAACAGTTCATTGAACTCGAGTTAGCTCATCTTTCCGCTTAATTAAACATCTTAACCTCTGAACCAGCGATTCGTTTTTAAATGTGTGTGTGTGGAGAGAGGCTCGATATTAGGGTCACATCTCGTAAGCCTTTTCATCTAAGCATTGTAGCGTATAAAGATGTAGGGTTTAGATATTCTTTAAATATGTGTGATATTTAACTGATGATAAGCCATCGATCGATACGGATTGGGACCAATGCATTCCCGACCACGCTCATTTTTTAAATTTTTGGGTAAGTAATACAAAATTTCCTCAAATATCGGGTATCAACTCTATCTTGGTACGAGTTATTAAATTTCTCTTTCAGTACATTCTTCGGAATAGATTTGGCAAGTATACCAAATTTTCGTCGTAGATACAAATCCTTCAAGGTCCTTTAAAAGTACTAATCCAAATGTAATATAAGTAATAAATTTTCTTCAAAGCTTTTTGAACCATCTTTATAAACTAGAGGTCCCGCAGTAGTCGAAATTCGACTATAATAATTAATTGGAATTGTAAGTTTGTACACTATTATAATTGTATTTTATACTTCTATAATCACAAATTGCGCCAAGGCTACACTATAAAAAAATATTTATAAAGACAAACAATCTTTAATCTATTCTCAATTTGACAACAGACGTCAAGAACAAAAGTTTGACAATAAATAGTATGCATGCGTGTGTGCGTCAAATACATGGTATGTAGTGTGTGTAATGTTTTCTTTATTAATTTAATGTATCTTTTATGCATTATTTAATAAAATATTAGCATTGTGCACTTCTTCTCTATATTCTGTATAATTGTGGAAAATTTCATACTACTCCGTCCGTGCAATTTTCGTAAAAAGGGATACAAAGTTTTTGTTTCACGTATTAATATATAGATGATTTTGAGTGATGACGTCAAATATTTGTAATGGACATTTGAATTAACATTGAAATTGATTTAATAATTTTATACTCTATTTATTGTCATAATTGCTGTAATTTTTTATGTTACTAATATATTATTAGAATAGCATTCGTCTATTTTCGTAACCAAATCAGTATCTGCTATCTTATAATCGTGTATTTAAGCATCACCTTCACCGATATTCATAGATTGGTTTATTTTTATTTGCGAAAAGATATGAAAGAATTGACACTAAGTTTTAGTCGTTTACTTACTCGATTGTTTTAATAATTATCTGATAACTAACTGAATATGATTTTAAGTTAATATTTAAATGTTATTTCGTTCACCAGTATGAGCAAAAACATATTACGCGAACTTCTTAAATTGTTTACGTCACATAGGTGTGTGTTAGTGTAATTACAAATTTTATATTTACGTAAACTTTACACTCAGGCATACGACTCGAAAGACCTTTAAGTACTGACCTCTGCTGCATTTGTAATAAAGGTCACATTGATACGGGTCCGGGTAGAAGCCGCTCTTGTCCGGGCATTTGAATTCTTGGCCTGAAACTTAAAAAAAAGAGAGGATTAAAGTTTGAAAAATAATTAATTAACAACTATTGCAGGAATAATGAAAATTATTGTTGTTTTCCTAGTTTAATTAGTTTGTATTATTTTAAGTTATCGTTACAAACTATTAAAACACTAATAGTACAAAAGATACTATGGATATTAACACAATCAGAGCTCCAACACAGTCTTTAACTGACACTTAATTTAAGGTCAAAGTAAATTATTTTATGAAGAGGTTGTTCCACCACTTAATACAATGAGTTTCCAAGCTACGCGTCTTAAACTGCATAAAATCGCTTAATTAACCAATACCGTAGAAGTCTAATTAGCAAATGTTTTAGAAGAGACAAAGGAAACTGAATATCTTCTAAGGATTATTTCATATAAACATATGTTATATAGATCGTCGTCGTGGCCTAAAGGATAGGACGTCCGGTGCATTCGTTGTTGCGATGCACCGGTGTTCGAATCCCGCAGACGGGTACCAATTTTTCTAATGAAATACGTACTTAACAAATGTTCACGATTGACTTCCACGGTGAAGGAATAACATCGTGTAATAAAAGTCAAACCCGCAAAATTATAATTTGCGTAATCACTGGTGGTAGGAACTCTTGTGAGTCCGCACGGGTTGGTACCACCGCCCTGCCTATTTCTGCCGTGAATCAGTAATGCGTTTCGGTTTGAAGGGTTGGGGTAGCCGTTGTAACTATACTTGAGACCTTAGAACTTATATCTCAAGGTGGGTGGCGCATTTACGTTGTAGATGTCTATGGGCTCCAGTAACCACTTAACACCAGGTGGGCTGTGAGCTCGTCCACAAAACTAAGCAATAAAAAAAAAAAGATCTAATAAAGTGTATTTCGATTTAGGGAAGCATCACTAATTTTACGGTATAAAATAATTTCACGGTAGCATTAATTCAATTAAGTCCATAAAATGTACTAATGTGTTTTTTTAAAATGCAAACAAAAACTAACATGACCAATAGACACGTTATTACTTCCTTGTAAAATGATATTTCAAAAGTGGTCTTGTTAACGATCAATTAACTCAACTCACTCGATCGACTCAAGAAAGTAATACTTCAAGGATAAATATCAACTGTACTCGAAATACGAGATAACTTTCAATGTAATGAAATGGAGTAATCAGGGTTATTCTATTTGAAAATAAAATAAAATAACAAAAATAAACAGGAATTTTCGAATAGACGTCAAACGAACTCACAGTCCACGTGTCTCTAAATGATCACAGGATTTTATTGAGACCACAATGTCAATACGCCGCCCTCCTTGAGACTTCTCTAGACTATTCGTCTATGTTTTAATTATTTAGTAATTACATAAAATTATAATTTTGCAAGTATGATTTTTATTACAAAATATCATTCCATCATCGTGGAAACAATTCGTGAATATAAATTTAATATTGATTTCATTTAAAAAATTGGTCTCCGAGATTTGAACACACGCATTATCGTCTCACTCGATACAAGTAGGTACACCGTGCATCTTATCATTTAGGCTACAATGGCTATCAGTTTACGGTAGGCAGCGGCTTGGCTCTGCCCCGGCATTGCTGAAGTCCATGGGCGACGGTAACCACTATTATTGGGCCGTATACTCGTCTGCCTACAAGGGCAACAAAAAAAAATATTTCTTCTTATTCGACTAAGCGCTCTAGGGATAGTTTAACCAACGACTGCACTCAATTATCTACTTATTGAAAAGACTCGTCGCAAGCCATAAAATAAATAATCTTAATCTATTTCATTCACTACCAAACATGTGCGAAAGTCAATACGTTTATAGTCAGGTTCGGGAAGCTACGAGCATCACTCCAACTCAGGATCATTGAACTTACGTATTATTCGACGAAGAGTTACAACGAAAAGGAACGTAGCATTTTTTGTACGAAAATACTGAGGTATCAACTTATTTTTTTCCCCTACCTATGCTGATAGCCTTGAGAGGCTATATCAGCTTCTCCTTGACGTGTAGGTGAGCTCACGGGGCTCAAGCCGGGTGTGTTGCTAACACTGTCCCTAGCAAGAGCAGTACTTCGCAGAATCTACCACCGGATCGGAAACGCGACTCACTGGGAAGATCCGGCGAGAAACTGAGTGGGATATGTCTATGGGTTAATTCACTCTCCGAGCCCTTCGTCGCAAGCGACGGGTTCAGCGAGGACGGTGACCAGTGCTTGTGGTACCTAAAAGCACCATTAATGGATCGGGAGGATCCGTAATGACGTGCGTACCAACGTATAATAGAAATAAGCACTGTACGGCCGAGCGCTAGTACGTTGGATTTTATAAAATAGTCCCTAATAGTCCGCATAACAATGCCTAGGCATATTTATGGTATATATTGGTATATCCACGTACTGGGACTTCCCCACCATCCCTGACTAGCAATGGTATTCTTTATTAATTTTTTTATCAAATCTCTCCGATTAATTCCTATTCTAAAATGTTATGCTCACAATTAAAATAAATAAAATAAATATTTAGATTAAGACCTAAAATAGCTATTACTGTATTAACCGTGTCAAGGTGAACTATTTACAACAGTTACCTATTTCAGATTGGCAAGTGTGATTATTTTTGTTTGTTGAGTAACGCGATAAAAATGTGAAAAATGATAAATGTTCATTGATCAAATGATTGTAACATTTTATTCTTAACTAGCGGCGCGCTCCGGCTCCACTCGGGTCTTTAACAAAAATTTCAACGATATTTGACGTTGTTTTATTTTTTTAAATTATAAAAGAACACTTGTTGCGGCATAACTATAGTAATTAGAAATATGCTGTCGCGACACTTTTTGTAAATAATAATGTGTTCTACAAAGTCGTGGTATATTATTTTATTCTATCATGAATAATTTTCGCGGGGCACGCCATGTAAAGAATATTAGAGTTTTAGAGTAAGGATCCCTAAATTTTTTTCAAAAAAAATTATAGCCTGTCACTCGGGAATAAAGTAGCTTCCAAAAATTTTTTTAAATCGGTTCAGTAGTTTCGGAGCCTATTCAATACAAACAAACAAAAATTTCCTCTTTATAATATTAGTATAGATAGTGTTTGTGTTTTAAATAACCGCTTGTGACCGGTAAATATATTTACTAGTTTAAGCTTTTGTATATGTACACACAACTAAAATACAAACATTATTTCTAGTGTATATGCAAGACGTTATAATTACCCCACTTAACACACTACAGCAATTAATTTGATTATTGACTGATACAAAATCGTACATTTTAGCATGTAATATACACATTTTGCTATCGTACAAAATACTGTTTACTTCTCATAGTACATTAACTTGTATCCTTATTATCAAAGCGGATTTATTGTTTTGTTTGCATAACGTATTATTGGTTCGTTACTTAATGTGAAAACGAAATGTCTGTCTCGCGTGTTCTTAAAGTTTTAATTGGTCAATACGTAAACGTAAGCTGTCCGTTTTACTTAGTAATCAGTGATTTGTTATAAATAGCTGTTCTTGATTGAAGTCTATAAGTCCCTACTAAAATTATGTAGTAGATTTAATTGCATTAAATTAAACAATATAATGTTTTAATGACAGCGAACATAAATGTATTTACCGATAATCTTATATGTGGGTATAAGATTTGTCAATGACCTTCCTTAAAATGACTACTCCGAAATTCGCTAGTCACCTTTTAAGGAAAAAACATTTATTATTATTACCAATTTAAATTCCTTTTTTATTATTTTGTATTTATTGCAACGTTTTTTCTTAATCTGGCAACTGCGATTGACCGTTTGGAAATATCCTATGACAATTTGTGGTTCGGTAATTGGATACTTGTGTATTATTGAGAATTTTAAAGAAAACTATGTACATATTTATTTTAGTCTGGTCTTTTCGGACTTTGAAAGTCGGGGTGAGCCTAATTTTTTGGAAATATATTTTAGATGGCCGGTCCATAGAACGCCTCGTTGTACAGGAAAGCGTTGATTGTACAAGACCGCGCGGGAGGCCACCAATGCGGTGGACCGACCAAATTAAAACTGCAGTTGGAGGTCCCCTAAACGAGTGCAGTAGAATGGCCTCGAGCAGGGAGAGATGGCGCGACATCGTGAGACGTATCAAGTCTGCCCCTTCCAACACTACATGACGATCACGACCACTCTGTCAAGAGTGACACGATTGAGAAAAGAAGAATATTTTAGATGGTTTTTCTGTTTGTATCAGATACTTCACAATCTACAGAAATGTTCTGAAGTTTTTCGAGAAGATTAACAGATGTGTCGTGAAATAATAAGTCAACAGTCACTTTCATACAAAAAATAAGCAAAGGCATACACACTTTGGCAATCAGTATAATAGTTTCCAAACAACGAACGTTCGCATTTTAGTCAATGATTCTTTCACACGTTTAACAACATATTGTCACGACACGCTACGAAGCCAATATGTTTCCGTGACGAGGTTCAATAGAATGCCCTTGCATCATATGCATAATGCATACTGGGGCAATAACAGTTCGGGACGCGTGAGTGAAAGGAGACCTGTATTTGTATCTATATGCATATTATTATTAAATTTTTTATTGTACTTAAAGTTGCTCAATTGGATTTTAAAAATACATTTTATTTTTTATGCGATATTTTATTTTACACATTGTAGTACATTTCACACATGTAGTAAGTACACTTTACCGAAGCAAAAACCAAATTGAAAATTAATTAAGCTTTGTCAAATTGGTATTTTTGTAATTCGTCAAAGCGATACAATTTTTTAAATATATAGTTTAACAATTACAATATTTTTTTTTTAATTGAAGTTATGTTTTAATTGCAAACTGTTCTTGAGAGGGACAGTTTAAAAACAGCGTTAGTTTTTTGTGAAGAATAATGAATAGCGATAATTTAAAAGAATTTCTTGTTTTTATCATTGGCGCATGTTAGATTTTTTACTAAAACATTTTTACAAAAATCCAAAAACTTCGGGTAGCGGTATTAACGTCTATGGACTCCGGGAACCGTTTCAAACTATATGGCCAGCTTGTTGGCTCATCCAGTCAATAAATAAAGTTAAAAATCGCAATTTTATACTTTTCTATAAACTATTCCTTTCGGTTTACATTTTAACACACAACGCTCGAATTTTCTACGACACATCACCTTAGAACTTTAAAATTATATTGAGACGCGTATTAATATTGTGTAAAAAACTTACCTAATCCACAAACAGCCAACCCTAGTACTATTAAACTTTTCATTTTTTATTTTATTTTTTTATTTAATATTTTGAGTTGTGCACGTGCGCTCCGTGCCGATAGCTGTTTGGTATTGCCACGACTATTATTGTGGACAACGGTCGTCTACTGTACTTTACACGGTAAAGGCTGCTGCGAAGAAAGCTGTCAGCGGCAAAACGATTAATTGTATTGTCGAGTGAAATTTTTATAAATGTTAAACGTTTTGTTATTTACTTTTATTACTTAATTTTTTTTTTGTGTTCGGTGGCGGATTTATGGCCTGTGAAAAAATCGTCTTTTATGTAAGGCTTCGTATGATATTTTTTTTCGCGATTCTTTCATATGGTTAAATATATTTAAATTCAATTACATATTTCTATCAGACGTTTTACAAAAAAAAATTATTTTACAATATTGTTATAGAAAGTTTGTAAGTTTGATTGTTTGTTGCTCAATCACGCAAAAACGTCTAAACGTATTTAGGTGAATTTTAGGAGATTTTTTTAAAAACTTGGAGTAGCCCAATAGACATTTAATCCAACCTGAATAACATAGGGCATATCTACTGGATTAAATAACAAAATGCGTTGGTTTGTTCATGAGTATACGTACCAACGGATCTACAAATTTACTGATAGAGTGAAAAAGACAACTATAGTATTATCTTATATATTGGGTAAACGCAACGTGACTAAACTAAGCTTGGATAAGAAGCTGCGTGTCACATTTCGTGTATAATATTAGTTTATAAAAATTGCAGCGTTTGAAACCGAGTAAGTTTTAAAAAATCACGTTAATTATTAAGAAAAAATCATATGTGCTAGCCACGTTCACCGCGTTTTAAAGACAACGAGGTCTAAAGGAGATAGCCTCGATGTAACAGCCTTCATGGTCAATTTCATGGCACTAAAAGTTGTTTATCTTGGTCGTTTATGTGCACTTAATTACGCATAATGACCCGGCAGTGGATACTTTTTTCAGAGTTTTAAATAAAAAAGGTTTTTATATTTACATTTGATTCTATTATAGGCTTTTTAGTCAAGACGTAAAGTTTAATGTGGCGTGAGGTTTATTGGCAGGCTGAAGACCCGTTATCAGCTTTCATAAAAACTGTTCATTACCCAGTTAAAAAAAAAAAATGCGTCCCGTTTCAAACCAGCCTTTTGCTTAAAACAGCCATCTTTTTCTGTCTATCAGTCTTTTGTAATTTTTAAATTAAATTCGTTAACGTTTACCAATAGATCTTATTTCTTTCTATTTAAAATTTTATAACACGTTAAGATAACTGAAAGGAATCGACATTCGAACGTCACGGCTTGTGAACAATCTATCGATACATAACAACTGATAAAAGCAAATTAGGCAACGTTAGACAACAATTAGGGTTGAGTAACAGAATGCCTGCCCAGAACTGGTCTGGAAACGGGCTTACGTGTGCACGCTGGGCTATGTGTGTTGGCCAACTTGTGCGAATGTTGGTCACTTGGACGGTGCATTGCCACTAATGCAATATTTGCCAAATAGAATATGTTTGGTTTTGATTTTAATAAAGGTTTTTGTCTTAAACAAAATTTTTGTTTAGTTCTAAGCCATCTTGAGCTTAACAATACTATAAGCATTTTGATTAGGTATAGTTAGTATTTTCTTCGGTTTTCGCGAATCATAGATATAACTAACGATTTTGGTATGTCACCAAGAAATTTTTAAAGTTTTTGAAACGTCGAAAAGTAGTTTAATAATTATATTTCTACTATTTTTTTTTTATTGCGTGGATGGATGGACGAGCTCACAGCCCACCTGGTGTTAAGTGGTTACTGGAGCCCATGGACATCTACAACGTGAATGCGCCACCCACCTAGAGATATAAGTTCTAAGATCTCAGTATAGTTACAACGGCTGCCCCACCCTTCAAACCGAAACGCATTACTGCTTCACGGCAGAAATAGGCAGGGCGGTGGGGGACTATGAGACTATGGGGGGGACTATGGGACATTATAATGTAAATTTCATCACTTCGATTTTTTTTTAATTCAAATTCAATTTCACTATAATTAGAATTTATCATTTTTCAACATAGATAAAAAATATGTATAACGTATTTCCGATACTTTTGATTCACTGTTAGTTTGGTAATTTTATAGAGTGTGCGTTCTTAAATTTTTGTTAGTCGTGGAAAAATGTAGTTTTTGTTGTGTACTCTATTAGTTTAGTAGTTGATTTAACTGGAATAGCGTGGGAAATAAACGCGAACAAATCACACACGGTTGCCTAGCCCCAAACAAGAATCCCCTTGCACTATGGGAATCAGAAACCGATATAACTACAAACATAAAAATGCTAAAATAAATACACAAATAGATGTTTCTTCTTCTTCTTCTTCTTCTCAATCATGTCACAATTGACAGAGTGGTCGTGATCGTCATGTAGTATTGGAAGGGGCACTGAGTTTCAGGCCGGATCTTCTCTGTGGGTCACGATTCCGATCCGGCGGTAGATTCTGCGAAGCACTTCTCTTATTAGGGTCAGTATTAGCACACACTCTTAGATTGAGCCCCATGAGTTTACCTTCCAGATATAGCGTTGATGGAATAGCTCCTCAAGGTACCAGTGAATAGGCAGGGAAAAAATAAGGTAAAACATGTTTTGTTATAACGTGTATATTTTTATTGCCATTGTAGATAAGGATACGGCCGCCTGTTTGTATGAGTCACCGGTGCTCAGGGACATTGGCATTGTCAGGGGCACAGCCAAGATACCGTCTACTGCTGAAATTTCGTTTAATATAATCTTTAACCCAAACCTTAGAATTAAAATCTAATAAAATATTAAAGCCAGTAATGAAAAACATTCAATCCAATCATTTTTAATTAATAATTCAACATCACTTTATGCATTAAAAAAATTACGGATCGTTCTAGAAAAAAATGTTTTTACTTAATTGAAACATGGCAAGAAATTTAAATACAACTTAATATTTATTGCATGCATGAAAAACGAACGATCGTATTAACAATCGCATTTGTGTGTCATCGGCATAATAATAATTGTATTACAACAAAGCATTCTAATGCATTCGCTATTCTTCCGAGATAATGCTTCACGACAATACGTGTCGAAATATATAGAAATACATAATAAGCTCTTATCCGACATATCGTCAAAGCATTAGCATTACATCCTTTCACTAATCACGCCTACATACGTCTATACGTACTGTTTCATTACTGTTCTCGGTATGAGCAAAAAACCGCAATACCAAATCTTAATTGATGTGTCTTCAGTGTTGATTATCTGTGGTAATTTTTTTTCGTAATCTCCACGTCAATCATTTAGTTGTAGATATTAATTACCGTTGTTCACAATAAAAATGTACTAACTAAATATTATTTTCAGCTTGTTTGTTCATTCGTCGTCGTCATTTTCTATTGAATCATTCTATTAGTCTTCGACAATTAAGTTTTTAATAAGCCATGGATATAACAAACAAAATGATATGAGTCGTGCGTGATGGCTCATACGGCGTTTCAAAGTAATCTATAATAATTCGTATTTTAATAGCTTTCGTGATCATAAGAGGAAGTTGTCTGAAAACAATGCAAAATGCCTGCGGTATTTTAAGAAAATAACATTCAGCAATTAATTGTCTTGACTTCTTTATTGGGACTTGAAACAAGAAACATGTAGAGTAAAAAGACCCGACAGTGGAACCGTGAGCTTGTCCCTATATCTGAACAGCGTGTAGGGAATTTAAAGCATAAATCAACGCGATCCAATCTCGAAAATGAAAATGCATTTTTTATTTAAATTTCATGCAATATATCCATTATACTAGGCGAAATAAATGAGATCCGCCATGTGTTTTATTATAAGTACAAGATTCTTGTTTATATTTATAGTTTAATGAGGCACGCGACATAGAAATTTTATACATTTCAATGATTGTCTGCGTAGTCACTAATAGGGAGGGTTCTTTGTATCTGGGGCCTCCTTGTTATATCTATATAAGACATTAAGCAAAGTACTAGAAATGTTCTCTACTCAATTCAAGAAAACATCAGACGGAATAGGGAGAACGATTTTTCTTTTCCAGTCGTCGTGGCCTAAAGGATAAAACGTCCGGTGCATTTGTATCTAGCGATGCAACGGTGTTCGAATCCCGCAGACTGGGACCAATTTTTCTAATGAAATACGTATTTAACTAATGTTCACGATTGACTTGCACGGTGAAGGAATAATCGTGTAATAAAAATCAAACCCGCAAAATTATAATTTGCGTAATTACTGGTGGTAAGACCTCTTGTGAGTCCGCACGGGTAGGTACCACCACTCCACATATTTCTGCCGTGCAGCAGTAATGAGTTTCGGTTTGAAGGGACCAGTAACCACTTGACACGAGGTAGGCTGTGAGATCGTCCCCCCATCTAAGCAATAAAATAAAAAATACCATTTCAGCTATTTCGAATTGGCATCATGAATAAACATGGAACATAATGTCTCTAGTATTTCTACAATGAACCTGAAATAGCAAAATAAAAACGATAGAAGTATTTTAAAAGTGCTCATTGAGGCAATGGAACTATAGATCTAGAACTGTAAGAATCATTCGTGAACAAAGGAACAGTTAGTAATTTTTTGGTACAGTTCCGCATTCCTCTCTCTCAAACTACAAGACAAAAGAGTCAAGGATAATAAGTACCTACACCCAAAGGTCGAAAACTGTTTTAGGGACAAGCATTAATAGAAAGATTTTCCAACGAGCGGGTGGAATTAATTAGTGGACCAATAAATTGCCAACAGTCCGAATATGTTCGGAACTTGTAGAAAAAGAACTCTTCCTTGAAAATATCATTACCGCGATTCGGGTTTTATTGTTTTTATTTTATGATATTATAGCAAACGCTACAACCATATCATACAAAGACCGAGAATCGAAACGATCATTTTAAAATCTTCATAAATTTGACGTTGTAAATTCAATAACATTAACATATTAGTTGTTTCCAATAGTGTAAAATATTTACAAATTGAAAAATAATAATCTTTAAAGTATTTTGGGTGTTCTACAATTAACAATCAACGTTCATAATCAA